TAAATGGAGTTGAACTAATACATGCTAATTAAAATTAATTGCCCCCATATGGTGTCCCATGTGTAAAATTGAATTTACAATTATCTCCATATATTACCAATCTCTCCTTCACACAAAGACTTCTGTCCTACAGAAACAGGCTTTTCTCTCTTTCCAGGAGAAACACCAAAAGGGGAAGAAAACAGGATGGCAATGGGTGTGAAGGAAAAAGGACAGAATGAAAGAGATGAGGTGAGAGCCAAAAACAAAATTTAAAGAATATTGCCCAAAATACATAAATGCAAATATCCTACCACCATCAATTGGTAATCATTCTATTGTTATCATTATTTTGCTTCCTTACATCCACCATGAAGATAAATAAAAAAAAACTAAAAATGATTATTTACAATTCAGCAACTGATTCGATTCCAAAAGTCATATTTAACCAGAATTTAGAGGGTGGGAAAGATCACTTTGCAAACGTAAACATTAGTTTACTCACACCTATAGAAGCGCTTACGGTAGTTTGTAAGCCCGAGGGCTTAATTTTGTTTCAAAGACTAATGTATAATGATTTCCCTCCTCAAATAATAAGAAATAATAAGGAAGGACATTTATCTGCTAGTTTAGTTTATAAATGTCAAACCTTCATTTACCATGTAGAAACTACTCATATTTCTTTTCATAGGAAAACACTTGTAATTATTGTCCCAATTCTAATTTTTTTCACTTCTCAGTCTCCTGCCCTATTCTGCCAGCAACAAGCTGAAAAAATAGGTCTTCTCCCCTGCTCCGCATTAAATACAATTATTTTAGATGACATGTTTCAAGAAGAAATAAATCTCACTGAAGGAATAAAGCTTACTGAATAAATATGCGTAACATATTCTGTGAACATCTACTCAGAAACTTATTCATGATTATTCCCATTCCTGAGCAGTTAGTAAATCACATACTTTCAGTGAAAGTAGGTTTTTTGTTTTTTTTTGCAAAAGTCTCTGCACCTATTAGAAAACCACTGATAAACAGCTCTTAAGTATAACCAGCAGGGAATGTGTAGTTAGCAGCATTCATATTGGGTAGAGCAGTCCAGAAATCATAGTTTTGGGAACAGTGCGTTCTTAGGCCATGAAACTTTAATCTATTTGCAGGCCCCATTTTAAAAACGCAGCACTCTCAGCCAGTCGCTTTTCATTTTTGTTGTCAAAACTACTTCATTCTCCAACATGCACTGTTTATTTAGAATCCCTTGCTTGGCAGTTTGTGAGATTAAAACAGGCTTACTATTATAAGGACTGGCCACCGATAAGCCTTACATCAATTTTAGGCCGAATCACTAGAGTTGTTACTACAGTAGCTCTCACTTCAATATTCACTAAACTGGGAAAGGGGAAAAATATTTCATTTCTAAATTCAGCCACATTCAGTTGTATTTATTCACTGTAAATATATATAACACATTTTATCCCATACCATGCTCAGTGATGAATCACACACTTTTCTGGTTTCCCAAGAGTTATGCAGTCTGTTTTGCAAGTGGCAGAAATGTTTCAGGACAGAATTTTTAAAATGAATTCTATTCAACAAAACTCTATTCAATGAGAGGTTTCTGATTACCTGACACTTGTATTAGTTGATTTGCATGACATTGCCCCATTCTGAGTTGTTTACTACTCCCTGTTAGAAATAGGACATGGGCTCTTGATCCAACTTACAAAAGTTGTGCCATATTCATGTTATCTCCACAACCGTTTACTGGAATATTTAAAAAAACGATGTATAGCTTTTCCTGGACTATGGTAATAAAAGTCACACCTGTATTCTTTTTCTTAACACTTCTTGGATATCAATGCTACATTAAAGGCTTAAAACTGTGTTAAATTGTGTACTAGTGAGATAAAAGACAGCATTTTAAAATAGTGGACGCTGTTGCAAAGTGTCTTGGAATTCTAATCTCACAGGTTGTGGCACAGATCTTCATTGCAATCTAATTTGCAAGCACAGGCAAATTTCTTTGGCCTTGGATAACCACAACCAAAGTCCAGTCATATCTCTGCTTCATACTCTAGTGGCAACAGAGAAGGGAAGCAATTAAATAATTCTGATTTTGTTTTCCAGCTAGGTTGATGCCTGCAAGAACAAAAATGCCATGGACCACAGAGGTTGTACTTGCGGCTCTGTCAATGTAGAAAAAGAAGAAAATTGCCACAGGCAAGTAGCAAGTAAAATGGGCAGCAATGGGTTTGAGAAAACTTCGAAATTTGGGCCTCACCCTAGTCAGAGGCTGCTTCTTTGACCACAGAAACAATCAGGCAGTGATTCAGGCAATGCCTGGAGCACGTTCTAATAGAATTTCAGCCTTGCCGTGTAGGCTTGATGGCTTTCATATAATTGTCCAGTGCAAAAAGCCCATGCTGTCAGAAAGTTTTTAAATCCACTGAGCAGATAATAAAAGTTTTTTAAAATAAGTACAGGTAGTCCTCGACTTATGACTACAATTGAACCCAAAATTTATGTTGCTAAGTGAGACATTTGTTAAATGAGTTTTGCGCCATTTTATGGCCTTTCTTGCCAGAGTTGTTAAATGAACCACTACAGTTGTTAAATTAGTAACATACTTGTTAAGTGAATCTGGCTTCCACATTGATTTTGTCAGATCGCAAAAGGTGATTGCATGACTCCGGGACAGTGCAACTGTCATAAATATGAGTCAGTTGCCCAGTGTCCAAATTTTTATCACGTGACCATGGGATGCTGCAACAGACATAAGTGTGAAAAAGGTCATAAGTCACTTTTTTCAGTACCGTTGTAACTTTGAACAGTCACTAAATGAACTGTTGTAAATTGAGAACTATCTGTATAATCATTCATAGGTGGTTCACATAAATTCATTTACTATTTTAGGAATTCAAGGCAACGTAGAGTTGGAAAGTCTTGACCTATAGTAAAATAGACATATTCTTTTTAATATCGTTGCATCACAATCTATGAACAACTTTTGTATTTATGGAGATCTTTGTGCTGTTCCCAAATAAACAAACTGAAATGGTGGTAGAACATAAGAGACAGCAAATATATTATACATTCCTTAGCATAATCTAGTTCTGCCTTCTGCTCATGTATACACATGCACAGAATAAACTTTCACCTTTATGTGTAGCTATCAACACTCTAAGTAACTACCAGTAGCCAAAGTGATTTTCTGCCTTATTTTTTCAAATAGAAGTGCTCAAAATGAAATCTCATTTCTATCCTGAAGCTAGAAAAGTTTTTTTTTCACATTTGCCTTTAAAAAAAAAAAAAATCAGTGTAGTCTTCTTTCAAACAAAAGCTGATCTATTTAAGATATGCCAAATTTTATTATCAGAAAACATTTTAAAGACAATATGACATAAAAGGCCTAGAAAAATCCATCACTTTAAAGGGCAAAATCAGTATTTTTAAACATACAGGTTACGTTCACAACCCCGCTCATTCCTTGCATAATCAGACAGGCAAAAATCTGTGCAAGCTTTCTTAACAAAACAACAGGAGGCCGTTTCATGGTTATCCCCCCATGCCTGTTTATTTGCATGGAATTGATTCATAATGTACATATTATGATTGCAGGTGAGCCATCTCAGATGTAATTCTTAAAATGCAACTTTTTCTAGTGAGGAAATTACCCAGTTCACCAAGGTTTTCTCTAAGAACTTAACATTAGGACCACAGGGAAGGGGGCTTCCCCTCACAATACAAGATGCAGTTGTGGGAACCAGATCCACTCATGTGAAGGTGAACACAAAAAGCTTTTTTCCAGACTTTATACAGGTAGTCCTTGACTTATGACCACAATTGAGCCCAAAATTTCTGTTGCTGAGACAGTTGTTAAGTGAATTTGCTCCATTTTACGAACTGTTTTGCCACTGCTGTTAAGCGAATCACTGCAGTTGTTAAGTTAGGAACGCAGTTGTTAAGTGAATTGGGCTTCCCCATTGACTTTGCTTGTCAGAAGGTCACAAAAGGTGATTACAGGACCTCAAGACACAGCAACCGTCCTGAGTCAGTAGCCAAGCATCCTAAATTTGATCATATGACCACAAGGATGCTGTAACGGTTTAAGTGTGCAAAATGGTCACATTTCACTTTTTTCAGTGCCCTTGTAACTTTGGTCACTAAGTGAAGTGTTGTAAGTCGAGGACTACCCGTACAAGTATGTGAAGACCGCCTCTCTTCCGGATATTCTTATAAAAATATTAATAATAAAAACGCCAATCCAATTTAAACACTTGGCTGACTGGGCGACAAACCGTAATAAAATTCAGTCAGGAAAGATGGGCTGTTCAGAGGAGAAGCTCCGGGCCAATCCCAGAATACGATTCTCAAGGAAGCCGGGCTGGACGGACTGGCTGGAGCTGCCCTCTTGTCAGCCCGGAGGCCACCGTTTCCACGACGCCGGCTTCCCGCCAAGAGGCAAAGGGGCGAGCAGGTGGAGAGCGCTCCGAGCGCCTTCCGCCTCCCAGCGCTGGGCGGCCCAAAGGGAATCCCCGTTCTGACGCGCGAGGCGTCGCCGCTGGCAACTATCCCCAGAACTGAGATTACGCCGAGTTTACTAGCCCAGCCGGAACGCGGGGGGCAGGGAGGCTGGGCTGGGCAGAACTCCTCGCACGTCGTCCTCCCAGGCGAGATAAAGCGCGGGAGGCGCTAGGACCGGGGGAAACCCACTCAGGCGCGCACCGACTGACCCACCTCTCCTCCGCCGCCTCTTCCGAGCCACCAAGGAAGTCGGCTGCTGCGGTCATGATCGCCGACCACTCGCTCCGGCAGGGATGCGGACCGGGGATTGCCCCCCCCCCTGGCAAGCCTCGCCCGGACCTTCCGTGACCAGAGATCACCCCAAGCCGCCCGCTTCTCTCTGCCGGCCCGCCCGTGCCACTTTCAAGCATGCTGTTGGCCAAGCTGTAACCCCCCCACCCATACCTAAATTATTGCAGAGAAAAAAGGGGGGGAAATGCCTCCCCTCCAGCCCCAATACTTACATCATCGAACAAGGATCCAACGTTGGCTGTAACTAACAAGATCCCGGTGTTCGCGACAGCCCCTTTCATCGCCATGATATTGGCCAAAAATAGTTCTGGGGGTATGTGTGTTGTGTATATATTCTAAAGAGACATTTGCGACGTCTCGAAAAACTGCAATAAGAACAATAAATCTCTCGGCGGAGAGGGGGACCCGGGCAAGGAGGAGCGCAATCGGGAGTTCAAGGGAAGTTCAGCGGCGGGCTCGGGAGTCTCGGGCGGCCAGATCGACTTTTCTTCCCTCTTTTCTCGTCTTCTCCGCGCGCCTCCCGGTCACAGGTCCGCGCTCTGCGGTGCCCCAAAGGAGGGAGATCCTCCGAAGTCTCCCACCGGGGGCAGCGATGCAGGCATCAGTGCTGAGCCCCCGGGCTCATGGTTGCCGGCTCTCCTCTACACAGCCCTTCTTCCCGGGGCAGGATGGGGGAAAGACTTCGCGCTTAGATTTTCACCTTCGCAGCCATTAGGTTCCTGTTTGGGAAGTTCCTCCTGCTGCCGCCGCCGCCGCCGCCGCTAGCGGTGGTTAGATCCTGGTGCATGGCAAGGAGGGAAAGCGAGGGAGGGGGGGGGGTGAACAAATTCAACGAAAACTCTCGGCCGCGGGAAAGGGGGGGCGCTCCAGAGGTGGCTTCCAGCGCCCTTGGTTGCAGAGCGGAGCGGGCAAAACAACCCCAAGCCAATCCGTTCGGCAGGAGGGCCACCCGCCTCCTCCCCGACTTCCCCGCATCTGCCTGAAATAACAGAAAGAGGGGCGAGCGGCACGGCGACTAGATCTCTGCACTCCCCTGACGTCACGAGCTTGACACGGTTCGTCTTAAAAGGGCAACGCCGCCCCGCTCCCAGAGTCCCGCCGGGGCTGAGCCGTGCTAGCCTTCCAGCCTGTTTCCTAGAAAGGGGCCGAAGGAGGTGGCCGCAATGTCCCTGGAAGGGGTGGGGGGAATGAAGGGGGGGGAAGCAGTTTGCCCGGCGGAAAAATACAGCTTTGCAAAGGCTGGCTTGAGTCGCGCGCACACTGGGAATCGGCGAATTGCGCAACGGGCGAGGATGTGAAACTGGCATTTGCAACGGGGTCTGAATCGCACAACACGCTGACAATTACTACTATTACTGGATATTAACGACTATCCATTCAGAGAACGTGCTATAGTAACTTCCTGTCTCCTTGGACAATACATTTTCGCTCGGGGTCAGTTTATTGAATAGGATGTCCTTCAGGCTGCGGATGTGCTGCTCTGCTGTTAAGGTCAAGAAATTATCTCAACATTTATGCTGGCTCCCGGTAAATATAGCATCCAGTAACTCTTTAGGATAGAAAATTTGCCTTTTCCATTGTTGGTACATAAATAGATATCGTTGCAAAGATCTTGGGAACAGAGGGGTTAATTAACAGTGTAACACTTAATATGTGCCTGTACAAAAAAAAAAGTTTCCAAATCCTGACCCCAAGGGAAAGGTGGATATACAAGGTTTTAACACTTTCTGTTGCATACTCACTTGTGCACAATTTGGGTCCAACGTGGAAATGATGATTGTGAACTAATATCCTACCTTCCATCCTTCCATTGAAGCTTTACATGCCAAACAAGAAATTACATCTACAGTAAACTTGTGGTCTGTTCTATTTACTTTGGCCAAGTACTTTGAACTGCTCACAGCTACTGATAATTAATACTCAGTTTCAGTGTATTGTTTATTAACCAAAGGACCGTATCAAATGATAATTAGTACTCAAACTTAAGTTTCAACTATCCTAAGAAAATTTCTGTAGTCTTTGAGAAAGAAAAACAATAACCAGCAAATAATCCCTATGATATATTCATAAATTTCAGACTGCCTGGAAACTGTTCTCCTAAGAGAAATCTCTGTGTTTAAAATACATATAAGAATATTTCATTAGCATCTATAATTTAATTCTGTTTAAAAAAACTAGTGAGGTCTATAAACTATGCAAAACTCAGATGTAAATTGAGTACAGTGTACAGAATCTGACAAGCTTCTTATTTGCTTTTACAGATAAAATTCTGCATCTGATTTATAGATAAAAGATTGTAACCCTCCACAATTGATCAGTAGTGCTGTACAAAGTCCTAATAAAAGTCAATCAGTTCAGATTTTAAATTTGAAGAAGAGAAAGCCTAAAGGATAAACAACTGGCATGTGGCCAGTCAAAGCAACAATTTGCTTTCACAAATATTTACAATGGATAAATCACTAAAATTAGAAATGTGGGTGGATCTATGCAAATCTTATAGATGTCTGCCAACAGTTGGATTGTGTGGGTGCTGTATTTTGAAGCCACTTAGATTTATAGGGCAGCTCTCTTAACAGTCTCAGGCCTTTTGATTCTGAAGAAGTCTGATCATTTGAAATTTGCCCGCCATGTCTTAAACTATCCACAAGATGGCATCAGTACAGATAAACAGATAAAACTGGTTTTCCTGGCTTTATGGAAAGTGTCCGAAAAGTTCACCTGTGATGGACATATCAGGTGAACAAATTGTCTTAATCTCCAGAAACCAGAAAGTGCCTCGTTGCACCTTTTGAGAACTATACTTTGTTATATGGGTAATCCTCGATTTACGACCACAATTGAGCCTAACATTTCTGTTGTGAGACATTTGTTAAGTGAGTTTTGCCCCATTTTACAACCATTTTACAACACAGTTGTTAAGTGAATCACTGCAGTTGTTAAGTTAGTCACATGGTTGTTAAGTGAATCAGGCTTCCCCATCGACTTTGCTTGTTAGAAGGTTGCAAAAGGGGATCACATGAACCAGGGACGTTGCAACTGTCATAAATATGAATCAATTGCCAAGCCTCTGAGTTTTGATCACGTGACCAAGGGGACGGTGCAATAGTTGTAAATGTGAAAAATAGTCATGTCACTTTTTTCAGTGCTGTTGTAACTTTGAATGCTCATTAAACAAACTGTTGTAAGTCAAGGACTACCTATACAGTGTTTTGTATAGAGAATGAAACAGTCCAAATACCTTTGAGATGTATCATTTGTTGAGGATGAGTTTTTCAGATATAATTTCAGCCAATGAATTCCACTTTTTGTCAATTTTATTGTTTATGTGGATCTGTTCAGGAGTCACGAGACATATAAAGTGTTACAGTGCAAGATTTTTAAAACATAGCCTACGTATATTTTTAGAACGAATATGTCTTCTACCCATTTCTGCTCATTTCACCCCCCCCCACACACAGAGCAGAGCAATAATCAGAAAATTAATAAGCATTTTTAAAAAATATTATCTAATCTTATCTAAATGTCACTCAGTAAAAGCAAAAATGTTTTAAGAGTTTGGTTTTGTGTTTATTTTATTTTTGCTGTACTTTATAGAAATCTGTTTTAAATTCAGTGCCTGACTCTACTATTAGTCTAGGATACGTTCAATTGATGATGGTGATAGTGATAATGATACAGTAGTCTTGCCTCAGAACCTCAGGAGAAGTTGATATTTTTATGTTCCTCGTCCTCTTCTCCTTTTTTGTTCTACAAAAGAAAAGTATTAAGGAAGATAATGTAGAACAAATGAGAGAGAGAGAGAGAGAGAGAGAGAGAGAGAGAGAGAGAGAGAGAACATGCAAAGATAAATAACAACTTTATTGTCACTTTGAATGTACACTAATCGGCATACATCAAAATGAAATTTCGTTGCATACAATTCTCAAAGGGTCACCACACACACACAAAAAAACAATCTAGTTGGTTATATTTCCATAAATTAGAATAATGTGCTTTTGATAGATTTTCCCTAAGACATATTGAGGTGAAATGAATGCTACAAGCTAGTGAAAGTTTTGAAGTGGATAATTTGGAGAAAAGATTGTCACATAATTTTAAAGTAATAATCAAGTAATACAAAATCTCCCATAGGTTATTACCTATTGAATGTATTCACAGTTGATGTCACCTTTATTATCCTTATTACTTTAATTATTTAATTAGAAGCCCTTCCATTCTGATTAGTATCAACAGAAATCTTGAATCCAGTGAATTGATTTATGCCAAGATTCTCTTTCATCTTTCTGGCTCACTGAATTTAATAGAGCTTACCTCTCAGAAGATATACACAGCAGTAATAGTTATTATTGTAATAAAAGTTTTTTTTTCAGTTAAAAACATGGAGCCAACATCAGTTTCCAACAAGCTTCAAACAGTAATTTCTTTTAGAGTCATAACTGTACTCCAAGGAATTTACAGTAATAGCTTAAATCAAAATATTCCACAGGAATTTTATTTTGTGCTTCTTTTAAATTAACTTTCTTATTCCATACTCCATCAGAGAGAAAAATATTAGCGTCAGTGCCTGTTGATTGATTCTTCAATCCTTCTCTTCCATTTGACTGTGATTAAAAACAACTGAACCTCACACATGTGCTCCTCTTACATTTGCTATAAATAATCTATTTTTTTTAAATCACTTTTTCTCAAGCTGATGCCCTTCAGAAGCATGATATTAAAATAGAGACAGGCAGAGATGGGATTTATAGATTTAATTAAGGAATGCCCCTCATTCTCCCATAATTCACATTGAAAAATAGGATAAAAATATCGTGCTTAATGTTTTAAAACCTGTAGATGATCAAGCTAAGAGTCTAAGTGAGATGCACAAGTGTGTTTCCTCTGGCTATGGACCGGATAGATTTCCTGATTTTTTTTTTCACCATATGTTACTATTAAAATCTTAGAGAGAGAGCCGATCTAATTTCAACCAAGTAGTCCTCAACTTACGACCACGCTTGAGCCCAAATTTTCTGTTCCTAAATGAAACATTCGTTAAGTGAATTTTGCCCCCTTTTTACGACCTTTCTTGTTAAGTAAATCTCTGCCATTGTTAGTGACACGGTTTTAAGTGAATCTGGCTTCCCCATTGAATTTGCTTGTCAGAAGTTCTCAAAAGGGGACCACTTGATCACAAATGTCATAAATCTGAGTCATTTGCCAAACCTCTGAATTTTGAACACATGACCATGGGGATGCTGCAAATGGTTGTAAGCGCGAAAAATGGTCATAAGTCACTTTTTCCAGTGCTGTTGTAACTTTGAACAGTCACTAAATGAACTGTTGTAAGTTGAGGACTACCTGTATTTCCACAACATTAATGATGCAGCTAAGAAGCAGCTCCTCCTGGCTTTGATCCCTCTTACCTCCCATAGTGGCAGGCAGGTGGAAGGAACCAGAATGACACTAAGAGCTGATTAGAGTTCATTCTTTATCACCGCTAACCTATTCACAAGAATCTCATCAGATTGACTGTATTTTCTTGAGAACAGCCTGATAAGGAAGGACTTTGGGGATTTGGGGTCATGTCTGCATCACTTCCTGTCTTGCAAGGACTCTAAGCAGACCAGACTCTTCACTCCTTCCCCAACTTTAACTGGAGATTCCACCATGCCTATTGAAGAATCATTAGCTGCTTCTCTCAGAAAGTTCATGTATGTCAGATCCATTCCAGTCAGTGAATGCTATCCTGAAGACCTCTGTGGAAATTGTCAGGTGTCTGTCTCCCTCTTGATGGTAAAGGACTTCTGGCAGAGAAGAAGAGTCCAGCTGGAGTAGTATATTTCCTCGTATGCCCTCAATTTGTTTGTGCACCTATAATCTCAATTAACCTTCTTACAAGCTCATATGCCATTTAAGATTTTGACTAAAATGATGTTCAGTTAAAGGCCTCATTAACTCCTCTGATCCTTAAAGACAAATTTTCATCATCCGGGAAGAAAGTTACAGAATTACATCTTAGACACTGTGGACTCTCTGCTCCACTTGAATCTGAGAAAGTCAGTTAGGAGCAGAAGCAATG